TCCAAGGAAGCAGAGTCCACCACCTCTCATGGGAATCTGTTCCACTGCCAAACAGCTCTTCCTGTCAGAATGGAGACTCTTTCAGGTGCTTCACAGTCTAACAGAACCACCTTAGGCATTGGGGTCTGATAAGGACCCCAAGATCTCCTGCAATGATTTTGTGAAGTTTTTTGTAGATAAAATTGCTCAGACTGCATCATGGTAGCAGGGTTGGTGCGGGCGAGTGCCAGAGCTATGTCTAGTCAAGTTGTATAGCAGGCATATCCAACTTCCAGTAAGCTGTGAGCTAGTATCCAATATCAAAAACCAGCAGTGATCTACCACACTCTCCCATTGTAATTCTTCAGATTAAACATTTTATATTTGGCTGGGGATACTCAGCCAGATGGACGGAGTATAAATAATATATTATTATTACGATGATAAAATAATAACAAGTTATTACCCCTCCCAGGGCCCTTGGTGTGTGGGAAGCCAGTGCGCCCTGAAATGTCCAATTCCCCCTTTACCAGACGAAGAGCTCCGTGATGAGGGGGGCAGTGGCTTACTTTCGAGTAAACACAACTAGGCTGGAGCTGGAAAGGTGGGGAAAGTTCAGCATCCATGCAGAACTAGGAGGGAGAAGGTGTTTTCTTTCCACAGGAACTGGCAGGAGAGGGAGGAGGGATGTCATTGTCTCTCTCATGTGCCTCCCTTCCCAGAGCTCCCTTTGCAGTGCTGCAGCCTGCACACCTTCCTGCCCTGGGGCTGTGTTTGCAGGGGACAGAGGCAGGTGCCATGCACCTTTCTGGGGCCAGCCAGCTGGCTTGGCATCTGGCAAAGCTGGTGGCTGGAGCAGGGCACTTGAGGCAGCTGTTAGGTGAAGGTGGCACCAGCACTAGCCAGAACACTTGCTGCAGCAGCGATGAGCAAGCCTGGCTAAGCGGAGCCTCCACTGGCCATGCCACCTGCAGAATTGCTCCAGCAGTGGCCCAGCGAGCACCCAGCGGGCAGAGGCACCCTGAGGCCTGGGTTGTGATCGACCAGAATCCATCATGCAATTGACAAGACGACCGTGATTGACGCATTGGACATGTCAGTTGTATAGGGTCAATTTCAACCTGTTACCTCTGAGGACGTGGACAGGCTGCTTGGATGAGTGAAACCGACCACCTGTTTTCTTGATCCTTGCCCATCCTGGCTCATAAAGCAAGCCAGTCAGGGCTGGGCAATGGGCTCCGTGAGGTGGTGAATGCTTCTCTCTGTGATGGAGTTTTCTCGGACTCCCTTAAAGAAGCTATCATCAAACATCCTTAGACCCAGAAACTATGGCCAATTATTGCCTAGTTTCAAATATTCCGTTCCTGGGCAAAGTGATTGAGTGGCTAGTCACAGAACAACTTCAGACATGAGTGGAGGATGCAGAATATTTGGACTCCTTCCAATCGGAAATCTCATCATAGGACTAAAGCCGCCCTGGTCATGCTACTTGATGACCAGGGACAGAAGTGAAAGCTGTTTCCTGGTCCTGTTGGATCTCTTAGTGGCTTCTGATACTGTCAGCCAGGGTATCCTCCTTGACCATCTTGGAGGGCTGGGAGGTGCAGGCACTGTTATGCAGTGGTTCCGCTCCTTCCTCCTGGACCATGTGAGGGATGAGTGATCACTTGGGAGCTCACTTGTGGGGTGCCTCAGGGCTCTGCCTTCTCCCCTCTCCCCCATGTTTTTTAACTTCTATATGAAACCGCTGCAGTAGATCAATAGGGGGGTCAGGCTAGGTGTTCACCAATATGCAGATTACACCCAGGTCTACTTCTTGTTTAAATTGGAACCGGTGATGAATGTCCTGTGTAGGTATCTTCAGGTAGCTGGGGGTGGATGGCCATTAAGAGATTGAGACTGGATCCCAGCAAGACAGAAGTATTGTTTCTGAGGGACAGGGGGAGGGCAGGTGTTAGAGATTCCCTGGTCCTGAATTTGGTAGCTGTGTTCCTAAAGGACCAGGTGTGCAGCCTGGGAGTCATTTTGGAGTCACAGCTGTCCATGGAGGCACAAGTCAATTCTGTGTCCAGGACAGCTGCCTACCAGTTCCATCTGGTACAATGGCTGAAACCCCACCAACCCTGTCTCATCAGACTGGTACATGCTCTGGTTATCTCTTGCTTGGACTACTGCAATGCACTCTACATGGTGCTACCTTTGAAGGTGACTCAGGAACTACAAATAATCCAGAACGTGACTGTCCAACTAATGACTGGCAGCAGCTGCCAGGACCGTATAACACCAGTCCTAATGGATCTACATTGTCTCTCAGTACATTTCTTAGCACAATTCAAAGTGTTGGTACTGGCCTTTAAAGCCCTAAACGTAGGATTGCCAATTTTGATGAGCAAAAAAAGGACACATTTACCAACCTCTACTTTTAACTACAGATCACTATGATGACTCTTATTTTAAATACCTTTACCATATGTAGGCTATAGAAGCTGTGATATATTGCATATTTCCTTTAAGACAGCACAAAGAACCACCTTAGAATCTGCTAGCAAACACAAATTCAAGAGTTGAGACATAACACTTAGTGGTCCACAAATTCTGGGCAGCTTTCCTAGCCAACCAAGTATCAGTGGTTGCCAGGAGCCTGACTCTCATCTAAGACCTTATTCCTATTCATGCGCTTAGCCTCTGAAACAAATGTTCTCAAGTAGCATTTCATGCTCTGTTTCTTTGGGTGGGGGTTATAGCATTAAAAACAAAATTAAAAATAATTTAATTACCGTAATTTTTCGCTCTATAGGACGCACTTTTCCCCCTCCAAAAATGAAGGGGAAAAGTGTGTGCATCCTATGGAGCGAATGCAGGCTTTCGCTGAAGCCTGGAGAGCGAGAGGGGTCTGTGCGCACCGACCCCTCTCGCATTCCAGGCTTCAGGAAGCTATCTGCAAGCCTGCGGAGCCCGGCGGGAACTGCCTGTGGAGGCTTGAAAGGCTGTCCCTGAAGCCAAAACAGCGAGACAGGGCGCTGCGCAGCCCTCCGTCTCGCTGTTCCAGCTTCGGGATGGCTGCGCAAAGCCTCCGCAGGGCGGCGAGGTGAAGGCACCCCACCGCCCTGCGGAGGCTACAAAGGATGTCCCCGAAGCCTCAAGCCTTTGGAGTGCAGCTGCGCTCCAAAGGCTTCAGGGATCTTTGAGGCTGGTGGTGGGGGAAAGCAGCGCTTCCCCCCACCGCCAGCCCCACAAGCTCGGGGGGGGCAGCGGCAAGGCCTGCTCTTGAACGCACCTTTAATGCACCTTGCTTTTGAGGGGGAGAACAAGAAAAAAAAATTCCCCTATTCTCCCCCTCCTATGGTCCGGTGCGTCTTATAGTCCGGTGCGTCCAATAGAGCAAAAAATACGGTACATTATGCATAGCTACAGCCCTCTTTTTCAGCTTGAAGGTTGAGAGAAGGCTGGGAGTCATTCTCAGGTATGATGGGAAAAAATTACACTGGGCAGTGTAATTGCAGAGATGGTTCCTTCCTGTCTCCAGCTTCAAGATGGAGGTCAGGAAGGCTTGTTTCGGCACTGTGTGTCCAACACTGAGATAGGCAGGGCTCATCTCTGCAAATGTGCTCTAGAAGCCTCCAAATCACAAGCCCTATCACCCTCACCAGCTCCAAGGATGAGAAGAAAGCTAGAGCTAACCATGCTTGCTGAAAAGGGCTTGTCTCCTCAGTAACACTACTCAAGAGTGGGGCAATTGCAAAAAAAGGGCACAGCAAAAAAGTTTACTAGATAAAGTCAGAGCAAGAACAAGTGGGGGTGGTGGGAGATTCCTGTTAAGGATTTATGATCTTCGAACCATAAAAAGGGGTCTGGCATACTTTCACTGCAAGTGCTAGGGGCCATAAATCAGCAGAGTGACACACGTTATTCTGAAGTGCATAGGAGCTCTAGCCCATGGAGTAAAACAAACAATAGAGACAATAAAGTTCAACAAGTAATTGCTTTACTTGCTGGTCATAAACACGTAAATGGTTTCAGCTATATACACAGGCTTTCACCGCAGCCGCTGGTGAAGGTACACTTAAAGTTCCAAGGTGCAAAATCTCTTTCTCTCCGTGTTGTCAGCTTGGAGAGATAAAACAGACTGAGAAACAGATCACTGTGTTCTGCAGAAACTGTGCATGTCCAGAAAATGGTTTCCATAGAAAATGTCCTTGGATAGACAAAACAATCAGCACTTCGCTGCTTCTTGAATCTTCTATCAATTTCTAGGAATGAATGAACATTTGCACTCACCCCAGCAAATCCTTCCTCTTCACACACAGTCCCTTCACTTGCTATAACCCCCACACCAACCATTTTTCTCAGCAAACATAGAAACAGGGAAGGCAAACAGAGAGAGGGGGGGGAATAAACTCCCCTTGTCCTCTTTTAACTGCCGCTCACCTGTGTCTTCTTGCAAACATTCCCAGTTCTGGCTGCTGTGGAAGCAACAGGAAACTCTGCCAGGTTTCTAATTTAAATTTCACACACATACACCCGTCCCTGTGTGAGACGGCCCAAATCTCACGGTGCTTACTGCTTTCCCTTTTCTGGGTTGGTCAGTGGAGGAGGCAGGGAGCCTGAACCAGCTCCAGATGCATGCACCAGCAACTGGCAATGTTGCAAAAGTAACTATACGCAGCCAGGTCGGGAAATCTCTGTGATTACACATATGGCAAAAGCTCGCTTGAGGTCCATGTGCTCTGCAAGAACAGAAAGCCTGGATATTTGCCAGATTTTAAAAATCCACCCAGACACAAATTTTATTCCCCCCAAAGAGGATGTATTTGGGGGGAAATGGACATATGGCAAACCCTACCTAATGGCTTTGGCTCTGCATACCTGAAGGAGTATCTTTACCCCTATCATTTAGCCTGGACACTGAGATCCACTGGTTACAGGGAACCAAGCAGAGGGCCTTCTCGGTAGCCATACCAGCTCTGTGGAACGCCCTCCGATCAGATGTCAAGGAAATAAACAACTATCTGACTTTTAGAAGACATCTAAAGGCAGCCCTGTATAGGGAAGTTTTTAATGTTTGATGTCTTACTGTGCTTTAATATGTTGGTAGCCGCCCCAAGTGGCTGGGGTAACCAAGTCAGATGAGTGGCATATAAATAAATGATGGTGGTGATGATGATGTGAACCCTGAGATCTACAGGTATATGATGATATACAAATGTAATAAACAAACAAACAAACATGTGTGCTAAATATTGCCATCCATGTGCACATGTGGAACCTAAGAATCCCAGAGCTTCATCTGACTGTGGTTGACTCATCGTCCCCAGCCTGGAAAACAACATAAACAATGTGCCAATGGTGTGGGTTCCATCTCTAAGATTCTTCAAACTGTCCATGTTTCTTAGAGAAACTTCCTTGTTCCCTTCCATGATGGAACCCACACTATTGGCACATTGTTGTATAAAACTTACTGAAGCTAAGCTTAGGACCAAATCAAGTGTAAGGACTACTTTATATCCACTGCTTTTTTGTTTTGTTTTTACTGTTACCACCTATATCTCTTACTTGCTTTATTACAATCCCTTTAATATAGGCTCGACTTTAGAAGTCTTTATCTAACTAAGTATTATGCTATCTCAGGGTCTGTCCCACCTACTTACCCAACTTGCTTTGAGCTTGTAAGAGGAGTTCAGGAAGCTACAGATTGGGCTCTGACCTGAACAGACCAAAGAAGTGCTAAGAGGACTACCCTACCTTCAGACAGAGGTGGTTTCAGGGTAGAGCAACTGGTTTGGTCTTACATATTTGCACCAGCACCACAGGAGACGCTGCAGCAATGATGTACAACAGAGTGCAAGAGGTGGGGGTGAGGGTCGCTGAATTTTAGCATTGCACAGGGTGCCACTCAAATTTGAGAGTTCAAAGTCCGCCACTGCTTCAGATTAATTTCCACAGCTAGGAAAAAAGGAATCATAAAGAGAAGTGGTGTTGGCAGCTGATTAAGAGATTTAAGAAGGATATGTATCTCATTTTTTCTCTCATAAAGGTGATGTGAAGTATGTATTTTGTTACAGGTTTTTGCTTTAATGCTGCCCCCCTCAAGTTCCCCCATTGCACTTGGGTTATGGAAAAGAGAAAGTCTTTTCACAAGATGCCTGAAGCTTGTTTTAAACCAAGGATAGAACATGGTGCCCTCCAAACTCCATGAACCTAGGCCAGCATGGCCAATAGTCAGCAATGATGATGGGAGTTACAGTCCAACACTATCTGAAGAGCTTCATGTTGGCTATCCCTGGTCTAAACCAAGCACTAGGCATTTCAACATTGTGACCTCCAGATTTTATTGAACTCCAACCCCCATCTTCCCTGACCCTGGGCTATGCTGTCTGGGGCTGATGAGGGCTAGAGCAACAACATCTGGAAGGCACAATGTTGGCTATCTCTGTTCTAAAACAACCTTCAGTTATTTCATCAAAGGAGCCAGAAAGTTTGGACTTTCTTGCGAAGCAAGCTGATGGTGGGTGACACCAGAAAACACTTGTTTCCCAAGTGTTCCTGCAGTCTGACAAAGGAAATCTCTCTGGCTTTTAAGCAAAGCCTTGACATTTATTTATTTATTATTTATTATGAATGCTCATGTGGAAGAAGAGTCCAATTTTATTTGCTGGATCCCTTTTCTTCCTCAAGAGGGCTTCTTTTTGTTGAGGAGAGGCAGGCAGTTGATGGAGCAAAGTGTTTGAGTTGGATTTGAGTCGCATGCTGAACCTAGGGTTTTATTCACTGGCTAAGCGCTGAGTGTGCCATCAATCCACCTCTTTTAGAAGCCTTGAGTTATTAATAAAGAGCCTGGTAATCTAACACCTGCTCTCAATCTTCCTTTTGGAGGGCATAAAAAGCCACAAGACCAGGCTCAGCAGTTTTCAGCTTCTCTAGCACTTGTTTTCTTGTGTGTGTGGTTTTTTTAAAAAAAAATCTCTGCCACCCCCCCTTTCCCCCACCCTCCTGCTCACCTCTCACAATCTTAAGTGTTGATGCTTTATGCTTGGGGTTGGAAATGAAACGTGTTGTTATCATTGGGATAGTGTTTTTATCGCATAAATAATGAACCAAAGCAAGAGGAAATACTGGCACCAGTTGGAATTACTGCCTGGCCTGGGGTGAAAATAATCAATACACTCTCACTTACCAATCTCATCTGCATGTCGACTCCATCTCGTGGCCTGTCTCTCTACAAATTCATTTCATGGGAGGACCAATAAAGCATGTTACTGGCATTGATCTGGTTTATTCATAGCTAGGCATAGAAAATGCATCATCTGAAATTAATAGAAAGGCTTGTGTTTATAACTGTGAAAAAGTAGCCTGGTGCCAGAGCATTGTGAGTGAATGGGTGCATCACAAGGATATGGGAGAAAAAGATTGGGAGGACTGAGGAACTTTGTCCTGTGTGCATGTATGTCTGCACCCCTCCCCCCCCCCCACAGAGATTGAGAGAGAACATTGTAAGAAAAACCACCTCTGGATCAAACCAAAGGTTCATCTGGTCCAGTATCTTATTTTCCCACTGTGATCAACCAGATGCTCCTGTAAAGCCACAACCACCAGAACCCTTAATTTCACTGGCATCAGTGACTTAATACTTTAGTGCTGATCTGTGTCTGACTCTGGCCCTAACACCTATATTAGAGCTTCTCTTCTTAATAATACATTCCAGCAGGGGGAAGCACCTTTTGTTTGGGACCAAAGACTACTTATTTATCTATAAAAATGTGTAAATATGGCTATATCATAATGAATACCAAAGTGTTTTACAATATCTATATTAAAAATGCATTTAAAAATTAAAACCAGAGACCATTAACTAACTGTTATAGAAATTTATTTTCTCAATTGCTTGCCTAAACTTGGTGGTCCACGAAACTTTTCAGCAGGTGTTTAAAGGTTAAAACAGAAGACACTTGCTGAATCTCTAGTGACAGAGCATTCCACAGGACTGAGCTGATGACAATAAAGGCTTGTTAATTGTCAAATGAGCCTCGCTAACTTGGAGGCAACCAGTGACAGTCCTTCAGATGACCTCAATGATCAAGCCGGGTTATAAGGCAGTCCCTGAGGTACCCTGGACCTAAGTTGCTTAGGGCTTTGGAAATTAATGAAAGGACACTAAACCTGGCTTAGTAGTAGACAGGCAGCCAGTGCATGTGTTTTAAGGAGCGTCTCCACCCCCATCGTTCTGCCCGGACACTGAGGTCCAGTGCCGAGGGCCTTCTGGCGGTTCCCTCGCTGCGAGAAGCCAAGTTACAGGGAACCAGGCAGAGGGCCTTCTCGGTAGTGGCACCCGCCCTGTAGAATGCCCTCCCACCAGATGTCAAAGAGAAAAACTACCAGACTTTTAGAAGACATCTGAAGGCAGCCCTGTTTAGGGAAACTTTTAATGTTTAATAGACTATTGTATTTTAATATTCTGTTGAAAGCTGCCCAGAGTGGCTGGGGAAACCCAGCCAGATGGGTGGGGTATAAATAAATTATTATTATTATTATTATTATTATTATTATTATTATTATTATTATTATTATTACAAAGGGGCCACATGTTGTTAGTTATGTGCTCCCATCATCAGTCTGGCTGCTACATTCTGCACAAGCTGGAACTTTTGAACAAAACCTAAGGACAGTCCCATATAGCACACATTACAATAATCCAGCATCAATTTATCAGCTTTGGATTTAACACACACCTGCCAAGCACCCTGTTTTAAGAGGGACAGCCTCCCCTTTTAAAGGCAACCTGGCCTCTGCCTTTATCCCAGGGCACCCTGATTTTGCATGGCAGGTGGGAAAGTGCTGCAGCAGGTGGGAAGGGTGAGTCGTGGGGACAAGGGTGAGCAGAGGAGGCAAAGGAGGTGACCACACGCAAAGGGCCCCCTCTCGGCAGTTCAAGAACTAGCCCTGAGCTTGTCTAGCAAAATGTGCATTTGTGATTTTGGCTGCAAATCCCACATATATAACGTTGACATCTCATCATCATTTGTTTGGCTTTGCTTACATCATTGCATTATAAAACCTGATTGGTTACACAGCATGGCATAGCCTTCTTTACCATTGGCTTCCAGAAGTTTTGAACTATTGTCATGTATGAATGTTGGGTCCAAGGAAGATGGTGAATTCGCAAAGCATGATACGCTGGCAGGCGAAGCAAGAAACTGGTTATATCAAGGAAAATGTATAACTGTGTCCAAAAGAACATTGGTTTTGCTTAATGAAAGCAAAAAACCCCTGATGCAAAAATCCCCTGATAAAAACAGGATGGAACTGGCGATGAAGAACAGTAATAAATATCCTCTGAAAAGAACAAAGACAAGGAGGAACTGGCAGTGGGCCATGGGCGGATGATAAAGGCCTGAAACATGTATGTATTTCTGAGGTACAACAGCGAAGGTGACGTGGTGGTCCAGAAGGAGAACAGGAGGAGAGTGGTGGAAACTCAGTTGTTTTAAAACCCAGCCCATAGACGCCAAGGGGGAAGACTATAAAAAGGGCAGTCTGCTTACCCTCAGTGTCGCCGGGACCAGCGCTACAGCCAGACACCCACAGCTCTTATGTGAGGCTTGATCAACCCACGCGAAGGGCCGTGTGTGAGTATTTGTGTGAATGCGTGAGTGTTTGAACCTCTTGGTACCAATGTATTAATGTATACTTGACTATATGAAATAAATGTTACATGAAAGGTGTGTAAACCCAGATCTGGTCTCCAACGTGTCTTATTGAAAGCCCTATGGCATACGGGATATCACTTGTCTCTCGGGATTTCAAAAGAGCCAAATTACCACGGTTTGGTGACACTATCACTCCCTTCAAGCACATGGTATATTCTATCACGGATGACAGGAGTTGTTATCCAAAACACCTGGAGAGCACCAGGTTGAGGAAATCTGTATAGGGTATTGTCAGGGAACTGCCATCGGAAAGACAGGAGGTGGAAAGGCTCCCGGAGGTTGAGAGAGACTTAGCAGCTGGAGAGGGAACCAGCAGGGGAAGAGGAGGGGCTCCAGGGGAAAGTGAGTCGGAGGGATGGCTCAGAGACACTTCCAGCGAAAACAGTGGGGAGGTTTCAAGACCTCCTATAGGGACACCCACTCCTCGCCGGAAACTGTCACGCCGAGAGTCCAGAAGACGTGTTTCTGTTAAGGAGCTTTTATGCTGGAAGAGATTCCGTAAGAGACCACTTTCGGATTCTGCTAGCGACTGACGCAGCCATGCTGGAGGGGCTCCGTCGCAGGCAGAGGTTTGAGGACTTGACCAAACTCTGAGGGACTTGCATTTTACGCACAAGCAGCTCATTATCCCATTACAGCAATCCGAAAGTCTCTGAAAGCAGCTTGTGCAAGGAGAGGCATCATGAGCAACCTAGCCGGAACCGGAGAAGCAGGCGGAGCTGGAGCTGGTCCAAGCCTGGAAGAAAGGTACAGGGTGTTGGAGCTCCAGCTAGCGTTGCAGACGGCAAGGCTTGAGGAGAGGAGGGCTCAGGATGCAGAAAAGGGAAAAACCCCAACCACCCCACTCGCACGAAAGGTGCCAGGATTGGTGCAGAAGTTTGGGGGGGATCCCAGGAACTATCACGCCTTTAGGACAGAGATGCAATATGCTCTCAATCTGCAGTTTGATGACTTTCCCGACGAGGAGTCGCGAGTGGCTTTTGTGATTGGGCATCTCGAATCGGGGGCAAAGGACTGGGTTAGACCCCTGATGGCAGTGAACAATGAGATCCTAAAGGACACGAGGAAGTTTTTTCGCGCCATGGACCTAATGTTTTCCAGCGACATTGAGCAGGGAGTGGTGCGCAGACAGTTAATGGCTTGCAAACAGGGGAGCCGATCTGTCCGTGAGTACTGGACTGAGTTTACCATGTTGATCCATAAATTGGGGTGGGACCTATCGGCGGAGCCCATTCAAATGCTTTTCGAAGAAGGGCTTTCTTCGGCGGTGAAAGACGAACTTTCCCGGGCGCCCAGGGCGGAGTCTATGGACCAGCTGACCAAATCCGCGCTGACCATAGGAGCACGCCAGGAGGCGAGAGCGTTGGAAAAGCGGGAAGGGAAAGGGGAGCGCTGGAGGGATTTCCGCATTCCAGAGATTCCAGAGCCGCCTTTCCCGCCGGCAGAGCCGATGGAAATTGGCACAGCGCGCGCGCGCGCAGTTTCAAATCCCAGTGAAGGGCGGAAGAAGGAGGGGAAGAGCGCCAAGAAATGTTATCTCTGCCAACAGCCAGGTCACTTTGCCAGAGTTTGCCCACAAAGAAAGGAATGGCAAGGGATGGCGGGAGCTGTTGGGGAAAAGGAGGGGGAAAGCATGGAGCAAGTAAAAGCCAACGCCTGGCTGCCACCGTCGGGGCACAGCAGCCAGGCCAAAGAGCAGTAAAAGTGCCCACCCCGGAACCTCCAAGACCGGCTTTAGTGATAGAGGTGTTACTAGAGCTGCCAAATGGACACCCACTGCAGATAAAGGCGCTATTGGACTCAGGCAGCTCCTGTAATTTCATGAGTAAGTAGTTTGCAGCCGAGCACCAGATACAAACTGTCCCTTTAAGTAACCCCCTGCAGGTGACCACGATTGATGGGCGGGAGCTACTGGGAGAAGAAGTCAGCCAACAGACGGTTCCAATGATAATGAGAGTGGCAAGGCACACCGAACGAATAGCGTTCAATGTGGCCACCTTGGGAGGAGTGCCCATTATTTTGGGGATGAGCTGGTTGGCGCTGCACGATCCGCTAGTGGGCTGGCATCAGAGAGTGGTCTCCTTTGGGTCAGCGCATTGCCTAGAACACTGCAAAGAGGGGAGGGCTCCGGAAGGGAGCAGAGCCACCTTGACAGGGACGGAAGTAACGGACAAGGGGAAGGTGCCCCCACAATATGCTGATCTAAGCAACGTCTTCAGCGAAAGAGAAGCAGACAAGCTGCCGCCACATAGACCCTTTGACTGTCAAATCAATCTACTCCCTGGGGCCCAACTCCCAGTGGACAAGCTGTATGCCATGTCAGACAGGGAGATGCAGGAGTTAAGGGAGTTCATTGACAAAAACCTGAAGCGAGGTTTCATCAGAGAGTCCCAAGCGGTGGGGGGCAGCCCAGTGTTTTTTGTGGACAAAAAAAACACAGATAAACCGAGGCTTGTAGTGGACTTTTGCGCCCTGAATGCAGTGTTGGAACCCCTGGCTTTCCCTATGCCCCGAATTGATGACATTTTGACTAGGGTGAGGAAGGGAAAGATTTTTACAAAACTGGACCTGGGGGGGGCGTACAACCTGATACGAATAAG